TCATATTAACAAAATATAAAATGTGACTCCGTACCCATTATTTTAACCAGTCAAGTCTCGAAAGGCAGATAAATAATGCATTGTCATTCACATGCTGTTGGAGGTGTCACACAATTTATGAAGGCAGTTTGGTAATAAATATTACAAATTTTTAGATGTGCACAATTCGGTTACCTGTGTCAGAGAGAACAAAATATGTTCCTCCTTATGCCTTTTGTTTTGTTTTGTTTTTAATTTTTATTTGAAAGAAAATGATGGAGGCAGAGAAGGGAAGAGAGCAAGAAAGTGAGAGACAATCTTTCAGCCTCTCCTTCACCCTCATATATCCAAAACAGTTAAGGCTACGTCATATTGAAACAAGAAATCTAATACACCAAGTCTCCCATGCAGCTGACACTTGAGCCATTATTTGATGCTTTCAGGATGTTCATTAGCAGCAATCTGAAAACAAAAGTGGAACCAGGATTTGAACTCAGGCACTCTACATACAGGTTGTAGGCATCCTAAGTGGCATCTTAATTGCTGTGACAAATGCCCTCCCACCTATTTTGCGTGTGTGCATTCCCTACTGTCATCTCATAGTACCTGTTTGAGAGATGAGAGTACCTGAAAGATTTCTGAAGAAAGTTTCTTTCTCTTTCACTTTCTCTTTCTCCTCCTCCTCCCCCCTCCCTCTTCCCTCTCCTCATTCCCTCCCTTTCTTATCTTCTTTCCCTCCCCTCTCTTCCTCCTCCTCTTCCTCCTTCTCCTTCTTCTTCTCCTTCTTCAATAAGAGCAAAGGATACTCTTTAGTAATGCTGGGATGTCCAGACAGACTCTAAGTACTCCCATCTGCTGCAAAACAGGCTTCTGAAAACTGGAAGAAGAATCTTGGGGTTTAGAGGTCAGGGACCCCCCCCCCATCCTCACCCCCCGCCTACTGAAAGCAACAAACAAATAAATATAACAATTAAAAGCAAAATCATTTGGGAAGCAGAAAAATTCATCTTGTTACGTTGAGCAATTAAAAGATAATTCCTGATTTAAAATAATGAGGAAGTGGGGTGGGTATTGTGCCACAGTGGTTAAATCACAGACTGATAGATCTGCATGCCATATTGGAGGGCCTGACAAGTCTTATCTCTAGCTTCCTGCTGTTGTGAACCATGGTAGGCAGCAGGTAATGACTCAAGTACCTGGGTCCTTGTGACTCACCTGGGAAACCTGGATTTAGTTCCAGGCTCCTGGATTTTGCCTGGTTACTATAGGCATTTGGTAGCTAAACCAGTCTTGCTCTCTCTCTCTCTCCCTCTGTCTCCCCACATAAAAAACAAGTAAAATAACTTCATAACACAAATAAAGGATAGAGAAAAGATTTAAAAGTGATGTAGACAGATCACACAAAGAATTTTATCCCTTAATTCCTGAGGTATACAGGGCATATTTCCTAGCAGGTGGAGCAATAAAGGAAACATAACAAGGCGTATGCTTAAGAACTTTTCCTACCCATTCATCCAAATTTCATATAAACAAAGTCAGAAAGAAATGCTGATGTAGTTAGCTTCACACAATCAAAATAAACCAAAAGCTAAGTTACATTAGGGCCAGAATTATGTATGCTTCATTTCTTTTTTGCTACCACGTAGAAGAGTGCTTGGCATGTACTAAATGATCAATAAATAATAGTTGAAAGTAAAATGAAGATCGAATGAGAAATGTGAACTCGATATTGCCTGCAATGATCTCTGGGCCCTTAATTACTGCCTGTGGTGGGAATGGTCTGGGGAAACAAGGATTGCAGTGGTTGAACCTGACAGCCGCCAAAACAAAAGCAGAGAGAGGTAGGTTGTGGATAACACCTGATTTTATTATTGTTGTTGTTACTTTAAATTTACTTAACAACAAAAACAAGAACTGGAACCCTTTGACAGTAGTCATGTCTTTGTTTACTTTGGAATGCAATGGCATAGCTAGGAATCACCCTTACTGCTTAATTGATGCAGAATTTCAGCTGATAAAGTCATCTTCTTGTATATGCAAAGTGAAAGGGAGAGTATTTTTCAGTCACAGAACTTGTGGTATCATTAATTGGTAATTACTGTAATGAGCACAATAACTTTTATTTTTTCTCTTTATTATATATATTTATATATATTTATTATATATATTTCTTACTTGTTTGAAACCTTGAGACACAGAGATAAAGGTGGGGGGGGGAGAGAGAATAAGAATCATCCATCTGCTGGTTCACTGCCCAGCTGGCCACAGTTTCCAGGGCTAGGCTAAGCCAAAGCCAGAAGCTTCATCCAGGTCTCCCACTTGGGTGGAAGGAGCCCAAACACTCAGGCCATCTTCTGCTGATTTGTTTCAAGCCATTACTAGAAGAGTTGGATTGGAAGTGGAACAGTTGGAACATGAACTGTGGCTCATAGGGGATGCTGGTGTCAAAGGTGGCACCTTTACCCAGTGCACCAGAATTCTGCCCCTAACATTGCTTTTTCTAAGATTCAGCCATCTGATTTTGGCTTTATTTTGAGAAGAGGCAATAACAGTTGCAGATATAGGAAAAGTGATATTGCTCCTAACAAACTACATTAAGAATGAAGCTTTGTATGCATATTTTTCCCATATGGGAATAGAACCCCATGTTCAAGTACACATGGAGCAACTTACAGTATTTTTTTGTTATTACCTCTTGGCTCTCAGTTCTTTGCTGTACCTTAGAAGTCTGTTCTTTACATAAATTCAAGGAGAAATGAAGGAATTTCCTTACTAAAGCTTTCATTCCTATAAAGGCAACATGATGCAGGAACAGAACTCAATGTCAACATATATAAATGAGTTTGTAAGATTAATAACAAAAGGAAAAAACTATAATGACTTTTGGACTCTGATTTTCAGCATTCTATAGTTCAGATAGCTGATTCCCTGAAATGCTCTATTTTCTTAGTTTTTCTGAAGTATCCCTGCTGTAATTTTCCACCCATACTTTTAGCTTCCTTATTTCTGTCTTTTGACTACAAGTTCATCTTACACTACCTAGTCAATTTAAGACTTCTTCTTTTTAAATTTTTATTGTCCTTTAAAATATTGTTTACATAGTTGAGAGGTGTGCAGCTCTATGTGGGCCTCAGATGAGGGCGAGGAGGGTCAGGTGTGGAGAAAAGTGGGGGAGATACAAGTTTCAGTTTTTTTTTCCTGTATCCACTGGGGAGGAGTGGAAGGGGCTGCTCCTCACTGTCAGATTACATCAGTAGCTGGGGAAGGAGGGACAGTCATTTGATGATGCCTTAGAAACCCCGATTTGGGGAAAAGTGTTCTGAGGATGTTGAGTGGTTGTGATAGTTCTGACAAGTTTTTGGTTTTGTAGCTTCAGAATTGAGAAAATCTTTCCAAGGTCTGTTGGCTAGCCAAGTCCACCTCAGTGTGCATCCATAGACCCAGAAACATGCTGCGAAGCTTGGCCATCAGAGTAGTCCAACCTATTCTGCTTTCCATCCTCTAATGCAGCACTCAATGTATCTTGTTTGCCTGGGTGAGCTGACTGTCCTGGCCTCCTTATGCATCTGGTCATATTATTCACTGCACAGGCATTAACAACTAAGGAGGCCCAGTCCTGATACATGCACTCTAAGACTGAACCACACATCCTATGATTTTCTTTATGTCCAAGGTCTGAGTCCAGTGATTTAGTTGGGGAGTCCCCTGAGAAACCTTGCCTGGGATGACCTCAAACTTGAACCTTCAATGTGCCAGTTCAGGATCAGGTGTGGTCTATCACTTGCACCCGCCAATGCACATACTGGTAGATGCAGATGTCTAATTCACCCAGCCACATCTCTCACACAAATTGTGGCCCAGCCCAGCCAGCTTACCACAGGCCAGTCTTCACACAGGCCAGTGGGTGCTATTTCCTAGTTGTGGTGACCCCCAAATCTCTATCAGGCCTGCCCCCAACCCTGGCTTTTGCATGTATCAGCCTCTCCTGCAACCTAGTCTGGCCCAGCCCACATCCCATCCAGTTCTAATGGACACCCATGGGTTCTGCTCAGCCGTCCTGGTCCCAGATCCAGCTCTTACATATGCTAACTGGCGATGCCAAATAGTTCATCCTGCCTACCCCCAGCCTTGGTTCTTGTGTTCACCAGTTATAGGTACAGCCTAGTGGAGGAGTTGCACTGCCAGGCATGCTCCCAGTCCCTGATCTTATGCCTGCTACGGGGGACTGCAGTCCAGCTTGACATTACTTATAACCAGTTCTGGCACTTGCCAGCTAATGTTGTAGCCTCACCCATCCTTGCCCATCACCAGAACCAGCCCAAATGCCAGCTGATGAGTGTGCAGCCATGCCCATATGGAAGCAGCAGCCCAACAGGGGTGTCCTGGAGGCTCTACACTTCTGCATGCCAGCATGTGTTGCAAACCAGTCTGAGATGACCCACTTCCCAGTCTTGACCTTTGCCAGCAGGTGCTGCAGCCTGGCTCAGCCCAGTCTACCATCAGTATAGCTTTTGCCAGTGGGTGCAGCAGCCTAGTCTAGCCTGGCCCACTCCCAACCCCAGCCTTCATGTGAGCTTGAGTATTGTGGTCCAACCCAACCAAGTTTGAATCCCATTCTAGCTCTCACTAGTGCTGTGGACTGACCCTGCCAACCCTGCCCCCAGATCTGGCCCGCACACATACCAACGGGGGCCGCATGCCAACCTGGTCTGGCTTGCTCCAAGCCATGGCTCTCTCTCCCAGGAGCTGCATCATAGCAGAGGAGTTCCCCAACTTCACCTACCAGCCCTGCTCCCAACAGCAGATGTCACATGTGTCATCAGGTGCTGCTGCCCAGACTGACAGCCAACCCCCAGTCCTGGCATTCACCTGCGAGTACTGTAGCCTAACCCAATTGGCTCACACTTACTTTGTCTCTCACCTAGCCCAGCCTGGCCCACCCACAGGCCCAGTTCTCAAGTGACTCCGCAGGTGCTGCAGCCTAGCCCAAACTGTCCCACATCCATTCTGGTTGTTGAGAGTGTCAGCAGAACCTCCACTCTTTCGACCCCTTTGCTGGTGCAAGTAAGGGTGATGACTTGTTCCCCACTGGCACTGAGGATTATATCCATATAAGAATCCAACAGAGAAATGGTAGGGAGATCCTTACCACAGTCCAGGGGATTGCTGATGATTATGATAAAAAGAAACTGGTGAAGGCGTTTAAGAAGAAATTTGCCTGCAATGGGACGGTCATTGAGCATCCAGAATATGGAGAAGTGATTCAGCTCCAGGGCAACCAGCACAAGAACATCTGCCAGTTCCTGGTGGAGATTGCACTGGCTGAGGATGACCAGCTGAAAGTTCATGGGTTTTAAGTGCTTGTGGCTCACAGAAGCTTGTGTGAGGAGTTCCTTGCAATGAGTAGACTTGCCCTTCTGTCCCTTATCACAAGTTTAAAAAAAACCTCACAGTTTGTATAATGTAACCATTTGGGGTCCACTTTTAATTTGGATTAGTGCAACTCCTTCATGCAATAAACTGAAAAGAGCCATGCTGTCTCAAGAAAAAAAAAAAAAAAAAGCCCAAGCCCAGCCTGTCCCCAGACCCAGCTCACACAAATTCTGATGAGTGCCACAGACTTGCTTGGCCTGGCCCATCCCAAGTCCCAGCTTTTGTGTGGGGAGTTTCTCAAGTTTCCCTAAAAGTTCTGCTGCCAGCCCAGGATGTGACACAGGCTGGTGAGTGCAGTGGCCCTGTTTTGGCATGGTCTTCCCTCAATTCCAGCCTTTGCATGTGCCAGCAGGTGCTGCAGCCTGGCCCAATCGACTCCTCCCAGCCCCTACTAATTGTAAGTTTCAGGTGTGTTCCTGTCAGATGAGTTCTGTGGTCCAGCCTGGATTTGTTTTCTCAATTGGTATTCTTTCCCTTGGAGACCTCATTCATATCCAACACTTGCATTAGTATCTAACTCACATGACTCAAAATGTTATCTCTAGCACAGGTTGTTCCTCTAGCTCCAGGCCTTTATACCTAGCTGCTTACATGATACATCTTCTTATTCTGAAGGTACTCAAACTCATCATGTTCAGAAAACCAAAATCAGTATGGACCTCTCCAAATGATCACTTCCCCCAATCACATCAAAATTTATTCTGCTAAGTAGGCCTAAATTTATTTTTGATTTTAAAAAATATTTTATTTTATTGAAAATGCAGATTCACAGAGAGAAAGATCTTCAATTGTTGGAACTGAACTGATCCAAAGCCTCGAGTCAGGAGCTTCTTCTGGGTCCCACATGGGTGCAGGGTCCCAAGGCTTTGGACAAACTTCTGCTGCCTTCCTGGGCTACAAGCAGAGAGCTGGAAGGAAAGTGGAGTAACCAGGACAGGAACCTGAACCCATATGGGATCCTGGCATTTGCAAGGCGAGAATTTAGCCATTGAACCATCCATGTTGGGCTACTAAATATCTTCTAATACTTCTTTCTCTCCCTTCCTTTGCCTCATCCAAATCATCACTAACTCAGAAAAATATCCCTAAATAACTCTCATCTCTGGCTATGCCACAATTATATTGTGTAGTCTACAATATCTCATTTAGAATATTTCAAAATTTTAAGTTTTTGCTCTGCATCTGGCTTTGCCCTATATTCCGTAGTGCAGCTGTTTCAAAATATGTGTGAACATGTGGTTTTGCTTGCTACTGATCTTGAGAGAATTTCAAAGGTCTTAATAAGGTGCAACAATGCTTTGGCTGGTCTGACCCATACTTACCTTCTCCCATGATCAGCTTACCCAGTGCAGGTCTTAACTATTGGTATTCTGCTTGTACTGTCTTTCTTGAATCCCTGTTCTCTTTAAACTCTTTTGTGTCATGGGGCCTTTGAACATGTTCCTTTTTCCCCAAAATTAAGTATGTACACCATGCTCTTCACTTGGGTCACATCCATCCTTAAGATTTTAGCATATTCTTCTTTAGAAAAGGTATTGAAGCAGGTAATATGTGCTGAGTTTAGCTGCCATATCCCCAGCCTAACATAGCCTGTCCCTGTTCTGACTCTCACTGATGGATACTGTGATTTACCCCTGCCAGGTACGCCCCCAACCTTAACTTCAATGTGCTGGTGGGTGGTGGTCAGTGGTGGTCAATGCTAATCAGGCCAGTTCTGGTCTCGTGTGTGTGTGTGTGTGTGTGTGTGTGTGTGTGTGTTAGTCTGACCCAGAAAGTTCCTCTAGCTTCCCTCCTCCAATCAGCTTGGCCCCTTTGCTCATCAGCAAGTACAGTGGCCTTGTCCACAGAAGTCCCCTAGAAGTCATTCCTCACCTGCAACATACTCTCTCAGCAGTCCCCTTCTCATGTATCTTGTGCCCCACTTCCTTGTCAATCTATAGCCCCCATGCCTGAGAGCTCAGTAGTTCCACAGCCCAGTCTTCTGGTGGGGTGGTATGCAGGCATGGCTACCCGGGATTCCAGAGCCGGTCCTCCAGCACACGTGCTGTCCTGGGACCCTACCTCTCCACCTGTCAAGCACAGTCCACTAGCAAAGGCCACAAGTCTGTCAGCTCACCACAGTAGCATGCCAGCTGTACCTGTGCCCTGCCCACCCGCCTGGGACCCAAATACATGGTGGAGTTTCCAGGCCTGCTCTGCCCCACTGGCCCCCAGCCAGAGTCCCCAGACTCCCTGAGACCTGGTTGGAAGGATGGCACCTAGGTGTCACATCAGTGGAAGGATGGTACCTAGGCCTAAAAGTACCTTTTAATTCCATTTTTATGAACTTTTTGAAATACTTTGATAATTATCCACAAGTATATTTATAAGCAGCTTATGTAATTTTAATGGATAGCATTGAATATGACTGGATTTATTTTACACAGAAAAGTTGCTGATTGAAATTGTAGTTTAAATTTCTGTAAATCTACTTTTGAATTTATAGAATTGCAAATTCATGCCAGAGAACATAGAAGGTTTTTTTTTAAAGGCTCAGATTGAAATGTGGCTGGAAAAGCTAGAAAACTGGACAGTGATCTCATAGCTTTGATAATTGAAGTCCCTAAACTAGCCAGACCTAGGAAAAAGTATAGCTTATTTTTTTTCTTTCTGCCCATGATAGAATTTGAAATTATTGTATAATCTGTTTTTGTTGTATCCTGTGTGCTAAGAATACTTCTGACAAGCTACATCTTGACAAAAATGAACATGAACTAGATTCGTCTCTTTCAATTCATGCAAAAAATTTAAAACACTTTCTTACTTCTGTTGGAAGCACCCTGAGTTTCCTAGGTCACCAGCCTTATGTGGAGTAAGAGTCCTGATTACTACCTAACAATAGGCGTGTTGAGTCTACTGAGTTCATGGCACAGCATGTAGTCTTGTAGGGATACTAAAGACAGGTAACAACTTCAAGGAACCAAAGTTGAAACAGTCTCATGTAAGAATGAAAATATCTGCCACTATGTTGTCAGCTTGTCAAGATTGCCCAAGAGAATATAGGAATTTCCTTCCTGGATTGGATTTTAGAATAGACTAGACGTTAATCTAAGGCATGCTCATTTGTTTTCTAACTTTTCTGGTGCTCTGTGTTACAACTTCCTTGTGAGTAAGGGTATTGTCTTAAGAAGAAAATAACTTCAAACTTCCTTCTTTTGGAGATTCTTCAAGATTGCAGTTTGCATTTTTAGCCAAAAGTAAATAGAGATGGTTATATATTAGCCAGAAGAATGACCATAGGCACAGCATGTAATACAATCTCATTGACATTCCACAGATTAGAAATTGTTGGAGCTCAAAGGGACTTTAACAGTTCCTTAGCTGTTTTCTTAACTCTCATAGGGAGTTAGACCAGTTATCTCCAAGATACTTCATAGCTCATTTGACAAATGGGGAAGCTGAGATCCAGGGTTAAAGTTTATGTTTACTGTGGATTTTATCACTCAGGAAAACAGGAGGGGCTATGAAAATACAATCGCGCACTTGGATAGCAGAAAGTGGGTGACAATCTGCACTGTATTTCAAATAAGGGAACAGATTTGATCTGGTATTTGAAATGCTGGGAATAAACATTTCTAGCATGTCCTTTTCTTTGTTAAATTCTGACATACCTTGGGTAAGTATGTGCAAAGAAGCAAAAACGATCACACCAAAATCCCCTAGCTCACTGCCTGGATCATTGCAGACAGTCAACATAGAAGTGTTTGTTCAATGTCCATGGGTATGTTTCTAATCTCTTTAACTACTGGAAGTAGAGGGAACCTTGTGATACCAAGAGAAAATGTACTTTGACTCAAGCATGTAATCGTTTTTGAGGCAGAAACTAAACAACTCATTGTAACAGTTATTTTATCATGAAACTGCTACAAAGGTATATTTAACCTCAGTATAATTTTTGATAGATGCATAAAAAAGAGAAATACATTCTCTGCCTCAGATTTCATGTCTTACCAAAATTAAATTAATGCATAAAACATATGCATACATAAAACCTCACTGAACTCTGAAGACTTCCTCATCTGTTTAAAAGATAATAATGACTGTTATGGAAGATAATAAAACCCAAGTGTATTGTGTTCATTTTTCAGCGCAGCTGGGAAAAGGAAATAGGTGGCATTGTCAAGTTTTCCCCAATCACAATAGAATATGCATACATATGACAAAAATTTTCAGCAGGGAATATGATGTACGCTTTAATATTAATTGCGGCTGAATTAATGGTTGTAGTTTTTAATACATATTTAAAATTATAAATATTGCTTTTATGTTCTCCCTTGGGATAGTATTCTACCAGCAGTATTTTCATTACCTCCTTTTCTTGCTTAGAAATTCATAAAGAATGCCTATAGCTTTCAGAGCTGAAAGTGAAAGCTCTAGAGGCAGAAGGGCTGCATTTAAGTCTCTACTTCTGAGACTTTGGGAATGTTGGTTATCTCCTGTGCTGCTCAGCTTCCTTATGAGCAAAGCAGAGGGATATATGCATTAAAACTTCAGTGAGGGGATTGTGAAAAATTAGACACTATTTAAAGCTTAGCATGATGCTCATCATGAGGTGAGCTCTGGTACTTACTAGGTATCTGATAATACCCACTGATTGGAGACAGTGTTGTGGCACAGCCACTTATGCTGACACCTGCAAAGGTAACATTGGAGTCTCGGCTGCTTTATATCAGATTCAGTTCTCTGCTAATGTGGGGCACCAGGATAGAGCTCCTGGCTCCCGGCTCCCGGCTTTTGCCTACCCTAGCCCCAGTTGTTACAGGAATTTGGGTAGTGAATCAGGGAGTAGATCTCTCTCCTTCTCTGTCACTCTGCCTTTAAAATAAATAAATAATAAACCTCAGAAAAACCCTACTAATTTAGAGAATGGTTGGATACTTAGTGTTTGAAATAAGATGAAGGCCTGGGTCTGGTGTGATAGCCTAGTGGCTAAATCCTCACTTTGCATGCGCTAGGATCCCATTTGAACACTGGTTCATAATCCAGCTGCGCCACTTCTCATCCAGCTCCATGGGAAAGCAGTAGAGGATTGCCCAAGGCCTTGGGACTCTGCATCTGCTTGGG